TCTCCTGCCTCAGCCTCCCAAGTAGCTGGGATTACAGAAGCGCACCACCACACCTGGCTAATTATTGTATTTTTAGTAGAGATGGGGTTTCACCATGTTGGCCAGACTTGTCTCAAACTCCTGACCTTAGGTGACTCGTCCCTGAAATGTTTTTCCTTAAAGTATATATTGTTTCCTATTATTTTTTGAGATGGAGTCTTGCTCTGTCATCCAGGCTGGAATGCAGTGGCTTGATCATGGCCCAAAGCAGCCTTGTCTTCCTTGTCTCAACTGATCCTCCCACCTTGGCCTCCTAAATAGCTGAGACTACAGGCACATGCCACCATACCTGGCTAATTTATTTTTATTTTTATTTTATAGAGACAGGGTGTCACTGTATTCCCCAGGCTGGTCTCGAACTCTTGGGCTCACACAACCCTCCCACCTCAGTCTCCCAAAGTGTTGGGATTATAGGCATGAACCTCCATGGCCAGTCTATTAATATTTTTATACTGACTTAATGTTTTGTTGCTTTTGGAAACTTTTTAACCAGGAATTCTTCAAACACTTCTCTACTGTTCCCTCTCCTTATTTCTGGGTCTCAGACTTGTGTTAGATATGCTTACCACATTTTTTTTTGAGACAGAGTATTGCTCTTGTTGACCAGGCTGGAGTGCAGTGGCATGATCTTGGCTCACTGCAACCTCCACCTCCTGAGTTCAAGCAATTCTCCTGCCTCAGCCTCCCAAGTAGCTGAGATTATGGGCATGCACCCTAGTTTGATATTTTTAGTAGAGACGGAGTTTCTCCCTGTTGGTCAGACTGCTCTCGAACTCTTGATCTCAAGTGATCTGCCTGCCTCTGCCTCCCACAGTGCTGAGACTACAGGTGTGAGCCACCATGCCCGGCCTATCACATCTTTTTAAATTCTCTCTTTCACTCTTTTGGTAATTAATTTCCATAATTATGTCTCTCCAAGATTCATTCTGGATATTTTCTTCAGCAATGTTTTCATTTATCTGAATCTTCTTTGAGGCAGGGAGCCCTTGACCCTTGAACCATAATAGCAAATTTTTAGGGTAGATTTTTTAATTCTCCAAGTAGAGGTGGGAATTGAGAGTTAGAGATGATAAGCAACCTGTCCCAGGTTCCCCAGCCTGAAAAGGGCGGAGCAAGGACTATCATCATAGATTAGTATCACCTAAACCCAAACCCTTTCTGCTGTGCTCGTTTTTTCCTTGGTTGTGAATCCCAACTCTCATCTCCCAGGAAGTGAAACCACAGTAAAGTCTTTCAACTTTTTTGGCACTGTGATATGTTTCTTTCTAGATTATAAAAATCACTAGCCTGGGCAACACAGGGAGACCCCATTTCTAAAAAAAAAAAATGGCCAGATTTGGTGGCATGTGCCTGTAGTCCCAGCTACTTGAGAGGGTGAGGTGGGAGGATCTCTTGAGCCACGGAGGACAAGGCTGCAGTGAGCGGTGATTATACCACTGCACTACAGCCTAAGCAATAGAGCCAGACCCTGACTGTAAACAAATAAATGAATATCAGTGTATTTTTTCATTATCCATTATATTTTCCCAAGGTTTTTTCTAGTATTCTAAGTGTTGATGTGCCGTTCTCAACTTAAGGTCACAGTGATCAAGCTGTTCAAAGAAGAGCAAGATGTTGGGATATGTACCAAAGGAGATTTAGCAGTGTGTCTCAACCAGTCAATCTTGGCATGCATTCTTCATCCCATCAGCAGCAAGATGGAGATGCAGCAATGCAGGGTGCCCATGTGGAATCTCCAGTAAGATAGTAAGTGACCAGTCAGCATGGCTGGAATGTACCAGCCAGTGAAATACATAACCCTGTAGCTGAATATGTCATTCTTTCCAACCTGACAGAAAGAAGGAATGACAGAACTCAGTTGATGGCTGAGCAAACTTCATTGTAGCCCTGGCATCAATGGAGCAAATGTGTATAAAAGACTTTCTGAGCATATGTGAACTATCTTTTCTCCACTTGCTCACAGCACTCCCTATGCCATTTCACCCTCTCATCGGAGAGGCAGTTTTCTTAAACAAGACCAAACCCATGTCAACATGGAGAGAGAGCAAAAACCTCCAGAGAGAAGAGTGGAGGTGAACAGGCCTCATGAGACATTAGGGAGCTGGTTCAAGATCACAGTGAGTGTCCTGGCAAAATGGATCTAATGTTCAGAAGGAGAACAGGGGAGTTGTGTTGGATTTGTGTAGATACTAGATACTTTTGTAAGGGCAGGAAAGTTTGTAATTTGTCCTTAATTACTAGGAGTTAACATCCTAGATAATCTAAGAGTAAATTCAGAGAAGTAATGTAAAGAGAATGGACTGATTGCAGACAGAATGGAAGAGGTCGTTTACAATCAAAGGAGGAAACGAATGCTAAGGAGATAGAGTATCTCCACACCAGATGCTTCAGTTTGGCTCAAACTAAGTGTATGAGGGGATTGAATCAGTGGAGTCTTTGTCAAAGGGGCAGGCCTGGTCTGCTTTAGGTAGACTCTTGTGGGACTTTATTAAAGAAAACTTATTTTAAACATCTTAAATTATTTTAAGAAAACTGAATAATAAGGAAGGGTATTTAGGCAATCCATGTGTGGTTAGAAATAATAGATCTTAGAAATAATGAATGAAATGATAATGAAATACATAAGTTAGTAATAATGAATGTTGTCCTATCTTAAATTATTTTAAAGTCTGAAAGGAATATATTTGGGTGCAATTTTAATGTTTAATTCTATTATGTCAGTCTTCTTTCCTCACTCAGTCTTTCTTTCACTCACAGATTCCATTCGGCATAAAATACAGTGAGAAATGGCTGCTGAATTTGATTCAGAACAAATGCAGTGTATTTTTCATCCCAGTTGAGGTAAGAAAGGACCGTGAGGGAGACAAGAAAGAACAGGATAGGTAGGGGACTGGATGAGCAGAGACTCTGGCCTCATATTTTATTTCTCTCACCACTCTCCCTGTAGTTTCACTATGAAAAAATGAATGCCACCTTCTTTGTGGAGAATGCCAGCATCGCCTCTGCACTGAAGAATGTCAGTGGCAAGATTTGGGATGAGGATAATGAAAAGGTGTGTGTCAAATGAATGACCAGGGCTAGCATTGAGCAAGAGGGCAGGGCAAGGGTGAGGTCTTGCTTGATCTTGGGGCTCAGAGTTCCTAGTGTTTACCCGGCCCCTCTTGGATTCTCTGCAGATATCAATCTTTGTCTGCCCTGATGGTATACCCGACTCTGTGCAGAGGGAGCCAAAGTCGGAAAAGGTGGAGCAGGTAAAGGTAACACAGACTCAGGGCAAGTTGTTTACACAAAGCCAGACCCACAGCTTCTTCCCCATCTATTGCCCCCTTCACCACCTCAACTTCAGAGCCTCTGAATCCCATCTCTAACTCTGCAGCTGGCTGTGAACCAACAACAAGCTCTTGATATCCAGAAACTCCCCGTTTACTCAGGTATGGCTGAGAACAGTGATTCTGTGGCAGATGAGGGCAGAGGTGTCTGTGTGAGATGGAGACTTAGGGATGGCAACTTGGAGAGGGGTTAGTACTGGTGCTGTACCAGCCGGGTCCCTCTCAGCCTTCTGGTTTTCTCCTTTCTGCTTCCTGGAGACTTTATGACCTGTGATACTAAAATGGTACGGAATCCTAGAAAGGGCATGGCTGCCTCCCTGCACGTCCATGAAGAGAACATACCTAAGGTGAGGCTCATGCTGGGATTAAGGGTGAAAGTGGAAGAGATTAGCTGGGAGGCTAATGGGTCTAAGATATCCCCTGTTGGGGCCCTTCACTCTTAATTCTTAACTCATTGCTCACCATAGCTTTTGCCCTTGAGCTCAAGCAACAACAAACCCTGCTAGATGCTTGACATTATGCCAAAGGCCCCCAACATCAACACGCTGAATTTCTTGAAAAATGAAATGAGATGTAATACTCAGATAGTTCTTTGAAGAAAAAGTGGGAGGAGGGTTCATTAGGGTAGTGACAAGAGGCAAGGTAGTAGATTTGTTGGTGAGGGGGGAGACTGAGGGTGTAGGGCCCTCCAGGTGCTCTTTCCTGGGTCTATGTGGTTCTTCTGCATAATTACAGGTGATGTCTTCAGGGGAGATGGACAAGTGGAAAGGGATAGAGCCAGGAGAGAAGTGCATGGACAGAAGCCCAGTGTGCACCACCTTCCTGGATAACTCCAGCAACATAAAGTCAGTTGTACCCTCTGTCACCACCTAGGACCCTCGCTGTGCTTGATACTGCCCTTCTGCAGAAGGAGGCAGTCCTGGTCCTCTAGGAGGACCACAGACTCTCTCCTTGCCTGTCACCCCACACCTCTCTCTGTGTCACTCACTCATCTGTGCTTAGAGGTCTCCTTTCCTTTCTCTGACATGCTCCCCTTTTCACCTGCTCTGGGGTGCATCTCCTGCCTGTCTCCACCCAGCTTATTCCAGCATGCCCTCTGTGAGAGTGTTCTAGGAAGCAGGGCTCCCCCACCTCCCCAGGACCAGCAATATTCTGATGCTGGTGCCTTGGACCAAGAAGAGTCTCCCAGCCCAGATCTTCATGCTGAGGCAGGTCTTCCTGCCTCCATGCTGAGACAGGGTTTCCCTCCCATGTCCCAAGGGGATTCTCCTTCTCTTGCTCCAAAACGGTTCCTGCACCTGTCCTGCACTGGCATGAGGGCTTCCCTGCTTCATGCTGAGGGCCAAGGCTCTGGGTGACTATTCTCATGCCATCTCTTCCTCTGGCCCAATGCCAGGAGCTGGGCCCTCCTTGGGGAGAAACCTGGGTTTTCTGAGTCAGGGGACCAGAAGTGGGCCACCTTTCTGAGGCAGTGGGCAGAGGAGTTTGAGGAGACAGAAGGATAGGCCTCTCAGGACACTGCCCCTCCTTCCCTCCACACCTCACATTGACCTGCCTGGGCCCTCAGAGGAGCCTGAGACAGGTAGCCTTTCTTGGTCAAGGCACCAGCACATTGGGGCACAGGCGCTAGGGACCATCATAAGAGAATGCAGTGGCCAAGAGACAGGGTCCCCAGAGTCTGAACCCCATGCTGAGCTGGGGCCTGACCCTTCACTCCTCCTGGGAGAAGGTCTCCTGTCCCCGTGGCTGCTCTGTTTCCCATGCCCAGCTCAGACTGAGCTCACACAGGTGAGAAAGGCTCCAGCTGCATCCAGCGGGCCCCGGCCCAACAGGTACATATTTTCCTTTTCTGCCTTGGTCCCCAGGGCCAGCCAGCAGACGGTGAGGGAAAGGGCTGCAGCAGGGGAGCCCTTTTCTCCTCTCTTCCTCCCTGAAATCCACCCCCACAGTAGAGCATCTTTCCCTTCCCTTTGCTTTGCATCCTGCTTCTCCTTTGTCTCTCATCTCCTATGTCTCCCTCGTCTCTCCCACCCCTACCTTCACCCCATTTCTACTGTCATCCCCCCCGCCTTCCTGCCTCCTGAGCCCGGCCTCACTCACCTCCCTGTCCCAGCACCCTGGGCCATCCCTAAGGGCTTACCTGCTCTTGGCCAGGACCAGGCCAGGCAGGTTGATGGGCAGCCAGTGAGGTAGCAGAGCCCTGGGTTCCCACCCCGTTTCCTGCTCCCTGCAGAGCCTCCCATGGGGACTTGGACAAAGGTGAGGGAGGGAAGGGATGTGGTAAGGAGGGAGGGAGAGGAAAAAAGTCTTGAAAAATAGGCTCCCAGTGCTGCCCAGGGCTGCAGGGGCAGGGACTCCAGAGTGTAGGTGGACACACGGCGCTGTGTCTCTGATGTAAGTATGATTGCTCCCATGAGGAGGACAGCTCCACAGTTTCACTTACTGTTGTCTATTTTGTTTTGGTTTTCGGTAGCTCCATCCTGGAATTGTTCCCCAAATTATTATGCTTGGTAAGTGTATTCCTTGATCATTGACTTTTCTAATTGGCACTGATGCTGCCCCCAACTGCCCGAAACCCCTTTAGGTACTGTCCAAGTTACGTTATTGGATCTAACCCTTAAACCTCAAGGGAGGTGGGGAAGGTGATATAGACCCATGTAGAAACTTGACAGAGTCTTCTTCACACAAATTCACAGCAGGCTTCAGGTGGCGGCAATCCCGACTGTAGTCTTGCCCATGTAAATTCCAGAATGCTTTCACACCTGATCTCTGATCTCATCCTCTCCTGGGTCTATCCTTTTCCCTAATTATGCAGTGCCATCTCCCCGCTTTGCACTATTGACTTCCTCTTGCCTTCCCCAGGATGGCCAGCAGTCACCTGGACCAACTCTATGTGGTCTTGAAGCCCACAAGAGGTTACCAACCTGTAAGGTGAGAAGAGTGGATCCAGCAGGGTGGTGCATGAGGAAGTGTGGGGTACCATCTGTGGTCCTGGGGACTCTTTATTCCAGGGAAGCTTCTTTGGATCTGAGATGCTGAAGAATCTGGTCCTGCAATTCCTGCAGCAGTAAGTATCCCTGGGATTCTGAGGAAACAGAGGGCTACGTCAGATAAGGTTACCCAAGTGCAAGTCTGCCCACAGTGGGACTTTCAAGTCTCATTTAGCACCTAGGCCACAGAGATAGCGTAGCCTCATTGGTCCCCAACAGGTATTACTTGATCTATGACTCTGGAGATCGACAGGGTCTCCTCGGTGCTTACCATGATGAGGCCTGCTTCTCCCTGAGCATTTCCTTCAACCCTGGGGACTCAGCCCTGTGAGTATCACAGCTCAGACCCCTGTCCAGGTCTGTGTGACTCCCCTGTAGAAAGATACCAGCTCCTGGAAACGCCCTCACTGGCCAGACTACCCACTCCTGCTCCTCTTTTTCTCCTAGGAGCATCTTGTTTAAGTACTTCAAGGATAACAGGAATATAAAAATGCTCCAGGACCCCTGTAAGTGTGTGATGGAGAAGACTGGGCAGGGTAAGGGGGTGTGATGGGAACATTCAAAGGGGCCAAGGGTCAGGGTGTGGTAGCTCCCCCTATCCGTGCTTCTCCTCTCCTCTATAGACCTTCGGGGGCAGCTGCTGAAGCACACAAAATGTGACATTGTGGACTTCCTCAGTGCATTGCCCAAGACGCAGCATGACCTCAGCTCCATCCTGGTGGACATGTGGTACCAGACGGTGAGCACCTGCTTCCTCCCTAGGGCAGGCCCAGAGAGCCAGAGGTGGGTAAGGAGGTTAAGGAGTATCCTGAGCACTTGAGCTCTTCCCTTTCAGAAATGGATGCTCTGCTTTTCTGTCAATGGGGTGTTCAAGGAAGGTGAGTGTCTGTAGAGTCCCCTCCCCAGATCCCCACTGCTTCCCCCCTCTGGCTGGGCTCCCTCTCAGAACTCTCCCAGCTTCCCTGATTTTGTCCCTTTCCCTCCTCGTCTTCCCTCCATGTTTTCCCACCCCCACTGCGCCGGCAAACCACCCTGGTCTGAACTAGGTCCATGCCTGTCTGCCCTGAACAGCTCAGGCGTGCATTAAGGACACAGACTGTGGAGTCTGACAGCTCTCATCCCAGGTTCTTACCCTGTGAACTTGTGCTGGTTACTTAACCCTTCAGTTTCCTCATTTGCAAAATGGGGCCAACAATGACCCATCTCTTGGGCTACTGTGAAATAGGAATCAAGTGAACTTGTGGTTTTCACAGGGCCCCACACATGATCGGGGCCCTATCACTGGGAGCAGATTGTTCCCGTTGTTGCCCTCCCCATTCCTGCCACATCCTCCTGACTCCACGTGAACAGTTGTCCTGGTCTACCCCGCTTCTGTGTGAGTGTCAAGCGAGGCTCTGACTGGGGATCACCGTGTGAGCATGTAAAGCCTGTGCAACTCTAAGGTGGTGGTGTTTGTTGTCTTTGAAGTGGAAGGACAGTCTCAGGGTTCTGTTCTCGCCTTCACCCGGACCTTCATTGCTACCCCTGGTAGCAATTCCAGGTTAGTTCTGTGTTGTGGGTGGGAGCACCCATCCCAGCCTGGGGCCGGTGGTGTGGGAATGTGGTGATTCAGTCCTCGGGTTGTTCTCAATGTTGTAAAAAACCGACAGACTAGTTTAGTAATTAAGAGTGTGGGCAGGTGCAGTGGCTCATACCTGTAATCCCAGTAGTCTAGGAAGCTGAAGGTGGGAGGACTGCTTAAGGCTGGGAGCTTGAGACCAGCCTAGGCATCACAGTGAGACACTGTCTCTACAAAAAATTTAAAAATTAGCTGGGTTTGGTGGTATGCATCTATGATCCTGCCATTCAGGAGGTTGAGGCGGAAGGATCTCTTGAGCCCAGGAGGTTGAGGCTGCAGTGAGCTGAGATCATACCACTGCACTCCAGCCTGGGTGACAGAATGAGACCCTGTCTTGAAAAAGAAAAAAATATGAGCTCTGGAGTCAGAGCATGAGTTCTCTCCTGATGCAATACTCACTATGTGACTTTGGTCAAGTCATATGACCTCTTTGTTATTCAGAATCTTCCTTTGAAAATGGTGATTACACTGTCCACTCCCTTGGGCTATTGTAAAGGGCAAATGTGAGTGCAAAACCATCCTTGGATTGTAGGTAAACCTACAAAACTGGTGAAGCATGTAGGCAATCTTTCCAAAGGTGGGCTCTGTGGGAGGGTTAGAGGGTACCAGCCAAAAAGCTAGGAGGCAGGCACAGTAGAGGTATCAAAGGAATTGGGTTGCTGAACAGGAGGAAAAAGATCTTTTGGGGGGTAGGGAGATGGATGTCTCTCTCTCCAGCTGCCTGATGGCCCATTTTTTCTCAAGTTTATGCATCGTGAATGATGAGCTCTTTTTGCGGGGTGCCAGCCACCAAAGGACCCAGAGTGCCTTGTTCACCCTAGTGCCCACACCCTTCTCCAGCTTCATGCCTGCCTTCTCCCAGGAGCAGCAGCAAATGGGGCAGGGTTTCTCTGCCCAGTCCGGGATGAACTTCCAGTGGTCTCAGAAGTGAGTGCTGAGTGTGTATGGTGATTAATGATTGGTATGAGCTGGGAGGAGCAGGGGAGTGAATAATAGGAACTTGCAGGTATTTATTTCACTCAGTATCACACTGTACATTTCCCTCTTGGTACATATTCAGCTACCTAGTTATTTTGAACAGATGTACAGTACTTCTCTGAATTCTGTCAATCTAGAAAAATGACAAGAAAAGTCTCAATCATTTTAGGAGGTTTATTTGCCAAAGTTAAGGACATGTGCCTGGGAGATAGGTCTATGCCTTTTAAAGATGATTTTAAGGGCTCTAAATTTAAAGGGGAAAGGGTAGGATATTGAGAAATACATAATATTTATGTAAGGAGGGGTAGGGAAAAATAGTTATTCATGCCTTTGTCTGGTTCAGTGAATCTGCATTTTTTTATGTAGGATGACATAGACAAATGGGGTGGAGGAACAGTCAGATATGCATTTGTGTCTGGTGGACAGGAGGGTGACTGCACCTATAAAGATAAGCTATCAATTTACGTTGTCATGGTAAAATTTTAACAGAAACACCTGACAGTAAATATCTTGCAGCTCACAAGGAATTTCCTTGTGGACAAAATATGGGTGAGGCGAATAGCTTTTCATCTTGTAGCCGTCTTATTTAGGAACCAAAAGTGGAGGCAGGTTTGCATGACCCAGTTCGCAGCTTGACTTTTCCCTTTAGCTTAGTGATTTTGGGACCCCAAGATTTATTTCCCTTTCACAGTTCAGTGGATCCTGACATTTGGTTTTTCTGTTTTTTTTCCCCCATGACACACTATGTCACAGGGTTCCTTCTGCTGCAATAAATTCCAGTAAATGCCGACATGTTTCTGTTGCATAAATTAAGAAATGGCATTGTGTTGTCAGAGTGTCTCCACTTGGATCCTAATGGATGTTACCTGTCCTTCCTCCACCACAGGTGCCTTCATAACAACCAGCAGGACTACAGCAGAGCTGTTCCGGTTCTTGCACCGCCCAAGGTGAGGTCTAGGAATTCAGGCCAAGTGAGGAGAGGCTGGGTGTCCTGGGGATGGAACTTTGGGCTTCCAACTCTGCTGATCTCCCAACTTCCTCCTGCGCTTCCTCTTGGCTAAGAGCAAGATCCCAGAGAAGGCCCTCACATAGACTGATCTAGGATCCTGAAAACAAAGCCCTAAGAAGAAATCCTTAAGTGTCATAATCTTCAGCCTCATCATCTTCCCTGTATTTTTATTCCAATAGGTGTACGTCCCTGTGACTGAATCGGGAGATCTGGCTGGGGCTAAGAAGCCAAAGCCTAACTCACAGGGCTGACTGTCATCCTTCCAAAGGGGCCAGTTGTTTTGTAAACTTGTCCACCCCTGCCACCCCCAGGATCTCTGTTTCTTTTTACAGTAGAGAATGATGTTGCCTGTTATGTCAAATCCCTGCAAAATCCATTTGATTCAGACATTATTATCTCTGTGTTGAATAGAAGTAGCATGAGTGACATTCTTTTCTTATTACAGTCTTTGAGGAAAAACTTTTAGTCTTTCACCATTGTGTATGATTTTACTCATGGGTTTTTCATATATGGCCTTTATTATATTAATATGATTTCCTTCTATTCCTAGTTTATTGAGGGTATTCAATTGTAAAAGGGTATAAGTTTTGCGAAATGCTTTTTCTAAATCAAGATAATTATGCGCACTTTCCCCTTCATTCTGTTAATGTAGTTCATTACATTACTTGATTTTTATATGCTGAACCATACTTGTATTCCAGGAATAAATCCCACTTGGTCACCATGTATAACCTTTTAATATCCTGTTGAATTTAGCTTGCAAGTATTTTGTTGAGGATATTTGCATCAGTATCCATAAAGGGTACTGTTCTATAGTTTTCTTGTAATACCTTTGAAATTATTTTAAAAAGTTATATTTACACTGCACTGTAGTCTATTAAGTGTGCAATAGCATTATGTTAAAAAAAAAGTAACTATCCTAATTTTAAAATACTTTATTGCTAAAAAATGCTAATGATGATCCAAGCCTTCAGTGAGTCATAATCTTTTTGCTGACATAATAAATGATCTTACCTTAATGTTAATGGCTGCTTATTGATAAGGGTGATGGCTGCTGAAGATTGGGTTGGCTCTGGCAATCTCTTAAGGCAACAGTAGCTGGGTGCAGTGACACATGCCTGTAGTCCCAGATGCCTGGGAGGCTGAGGAGAGAGTACTCCTTGAGTGCAGGAATTTGAGTCCAGCCTGATCAACTTAGTGAGATCCTGACTCTTAAATTTTAAAAAGACAACAATGAAGTTGTTGCTGCATTGATTGACTCTTCCTTGTGTGAAAGATTTCTCTGTAGCATGTAATGCTGTTTGATAGCATTTACCCACAGTAGAACTTCTTTCAAAATTGGAATCAGTCTTCTCAAATGCTGTCATTGCTGTATCAACTAAGTTTATGGCATATTTTAAATCCTTGGTTGTCATTTCCACATTGTTCACATCATCTTCACCAGAAGTAGATTTCATCTTGAGAAACCATTTCTTTCCTCATCCATAAGAAACAACTTCTCATCCATTTAAGTTTTATCATAACATTGCAGCAATTTATTCACATCTTCAGGCTCTACTTCTAATTCTAGGTCTGTTGCTATTTCCACCACACATGCAGTGCCTTCCTCCACTGAAGTCATGAAACCCTCAAAGTCATCCATGAGAATTGGAATCAACTTCTTCCAAACTCCTCTTAATGTTCATATTTTGACCTCCTCCCATGATTCAGAAATGTTCTTAATAGCATTTAGAATGGTGAATCCCTTCCAGAAGATTTTCAGTTTATTTTGTCTTAATCCATCAAAGGAATCACTGTCTATGGCAGCTGTAACCTTATGAAATGTATTTCTTAAATAATAAACCTTGAAAGTCAAAAGTACTTCTTGATCCGTGGGCTGCAAAATGGATGCTGTATTAGCAGGCATGAAAACGATGTTAATTTCTTTGCATATCTTCATCAGAGCTCTTCAGTAACTAGATACATTGTCAATAAACAGTAATATTTTGAAAGGAATCTTTTTTACTGAGCAATAGGTCTCAACAGTTTATTTAAAATATTCAATAAACCAGGCTGTAAAAAGATATGCTATCATCCAGTCTTGGCTGTTCCATTTCTAGAGCACAAGCAGAGTAGATTTAGCATAAATCTTTAGGATCCTAGGATTTTTAGAATGGTCAATGAACATTGGCTTCAACTTAAGGTCACCAGCTGCATAAGCCCCTAACAAAAGAAAGTGAGTTTGTTCTTTGAAGCTTTGAAGCCAGTCATTGACTTCTCACTAGCTATAAAAGTATTAGATAGCATCGTCTTCCAATGGAAGGTTGTTTCATCTATATTGAACATTTGTCATTTAGTGTAGCCACCTTCATCAATTATCTTAGCTAAATCTTCTGGATAACCTGCTGCATTTGCAGCTTCCATATCAGCACTTGCTGTTTTACCTTGTGCTGTTATATTATTGAGATAACTTTTTTTCTCAAACTCCATGAACCAGCCTCTGCTAGATTCGAACTTTTCTTCTGCAGCTTCTTCACCTCTCTCAGCCTTCATACAACTGAAGAGAGTTAATGCCTTGCTCTGTATTAGGCTTCAGCTTAAGGGAGTGTTGTGGCTGGTTTGATCTATTATTCAGATCACTAAAACTTTCTCCATATTAGCAATAAGGCTGTTTTGCCTTTTTAAAATCACTCGTGTGTTCACTAGAATAGTGCATTTAATTTCCTTTAAAAATGTTCCTTTTGCATTCACTACTTGGCTAACCGTTCAGTACAAGTGGCCTAGCTTTTGGCCTATTTTGTCTTTTGACCTGCCTTCCTTGATACACTTAATAATTTCTAGCTTTTTTTTTTTTTTTTTCTGAGACGGAGTCTTGTTCTGTTACCCAGGCTGGGGTGCAGTGGTGTGAACTCAGCTCACTGCAACTTCCGCCTCCTAGGTTCAAGTGATTCTCCTGCCTCAGCCTCCTGAGTGGCTAGAACTATAAGCACGTGCCACTACTCCTGGCTAATTTTTCTGTTTTTTCAGTAGAGATGGAGTTTTGCCATGTTGGCTAGGCTGGTCTCGAACTCCTGAACTCAAGTCATCCACACCCTCTTGGCCTCCCAAAGTGCTGGGATTACAGGCGTGAGTCACTGCGCCTGGCCAATGGAATCGTTTTGACAGTCCCAAAGTAAAACTATGTGACTAATCTCAACTGAATTTTGACAAGAGTGCCAAGACAATCCAGTGGAGAAATAATTGTCTTTTCAACAAAAGGTGCTGGGGCAATTGGATAGCCACATGTAAAAGAATGGTTACACTCTTAGCTCCCACTTTATAAAAAATTAATTCAAACTGGATCAAAGACCTAAATGGAAGAGCTAGAACTATAAAATTCTTAGAGGAAAATATGGGGATAAATATTTGTGACTTTGGATTACAAAGGATTCTTAGATTCAAATGACTCTTGAATTCAAAAGATTCTTAGATATGATACCAATACCAGGAGCAGCAAAGATAAAGAGATAATCTAGACTTCATCAAAATTAAAAACAACTATTCTGTGTGTGTGTGTGTGTGTGTGTGTGTGTGTGTGTGTGTGTGTTTTTCCTTTTGAGACAGAGTCTTGTTCTACGGCTTAGGCTGGAGTGCAGTGGCATGATCTCGGCGCACTGCAACTTCCGCCTTCCAAGTTCAAGCGATTTTCCTGCCTCGCCTCCTGAGTAGCTGGGACTACAGGCATGCACTGCCACATCCAGCTAATTTTTTGTATCTTTAGCAGAGATGGGGTTTCACCATGTTGGCCAGGCTGGTCTTGAACTTCTGACCTCAAGTGATTCACCTGCCTCGGCCTCCCAAAGTCCTGGGATTACACGCATGTTTCAAAAGGCATTATTATGAAAGCGGTTAAAAAATCCACAGAATGAGTTAAAATATCTGCAAATCATATATGTAGTGAGGGATTTCTGTCTAGAATATATAAAAACTCTTGCAACTCAATAATAAAAAGAAAAATAACTCAAATAAAAAGTGCACAAAGATCTGAATAGACATTGATCCAAGGAGGATATACAAATGACCAGTAAGCACATGAAAAGGTGCATCATATCATCAGTCATCAGGAAAATGCAAATCAAAACCACCACAATAAATGGCTGGAATCAAAATTTCAGATAATAACAAATGTCGACAAAAATGTGGATAAATCAAAACCATCATACACTACCGGTAGCAATGTAAAATACTCAGCCACTTTGGAAAATCGTTTGGCAATTCCTCAAGTGAGTAATCATAGTGGCATCACAAAGCTTGAAAACATCATGCTAAATAAAAAAACCAATTTCTAAAGAATACATATTATACAATTTCATTCACATGAAATATCAAAATAGGGAAATCTATAGACAGAAAACATATTAGTAATTGCTTTGGTATGAAGAGGATGGGGGAACAGGGGAGTGATAGCAAAAGAACAGGGGGTCGCTTTTTGAGGTGATGAAAATATCCGTGGTGATGATTGCACGTATATATGAACATACTAAAAAACATTTTTTACACTTTAAATGGGCAAATGTTATGGTTTGTAAATTATATCTCTATAAAGTTGTTTTTAAAAAATATAAATTGAGGCCGGGCATGGTGGCTTATGTCTGTAATCCCAGCACTCAGGAGGCTGAGGTGGGCGGATCACTTAAGGTCAGGAGTTTGAGACCAGTAGGGCTAACATGGCTGAAATCCTATCTCTACTAAAAATATATTTTTTAAATTAACTGGTCATGATGGCATGCACCTGGAGTCCCAGCTACTCCAGAGGCTGAGGCAGGAGAATCCCTTGAACCCGAGAGGCAGAGGTTGCAGTGAACCAAGATCGTGTCACTTCACTCCTGCCTGGTTGACAGAAGAAAGCAACAAAAAAAAAAAAAAAAAAAAAAAAAAAGATAGAAATTGAAACTTAACCAGCCTTGGTTACTTGGTTATTATTTGAATATGAGAGACAATGTAGAGCAATTCAAGGATAATGGCCACGTTTCTGGATTGGTCAATGGGTGAGTACTAAGGTAGAAAACAAAGGAAAATAAACAGGTCTAATGAGAGAGAGAGAGGGAGAGAAAATAATAATAATAATAATAAGTAAGGGGTTCCACAGGCTTCTGAGCTGAGGAAGCCAAGGGTAGTAAGAATGGTCAGTCGAGAGTGTTCCTCAGGCCCTAGCATAAATGAAGAGGTATCAGAGTGGGTATGGACTGGCAGATAGTGACCCTGCAGCAAGACTAGGCGCTTTCTGGGTGACCTGCAGGTGAGACAGTTAGGGTGAGGATCTCAGTACCCTGCACTACCAAAGCCAGGTGAGAGATAGCAAAAATGTTCCAAAGAGGCTTTTCCCTGGGGTGGGTGAAAAAGAGAAGAGAGCAGGCAGGTTTGAGAACTGCTCCCCACTCCTGCCACCTCAATTACTTCTAGGCTTTTCTTGGAATCTCTCACCACAGAGCTGTAGAAAAGCCCTATTC